TTTCCCAAGTGTTCGATCATTTGTATTTATGAGGCATATTGAATAAAATATATATTAAATATTTAAATTAATGATTAAATGTTAGAATGTAAAGGAAACTTGTAGCTACTTTAATTTCTAAAGGCCATATCACACGTATATTTTTCATACAATTTTTTCTCCCAAATTTTAGTCGAATCCGATGGGGAAGGGTTGCCGTAAAAAAACGACATGCTCTGACGTGAGCCACACTCTATCTCCACATTGAAAAATTACTCGCTGATTTTTCTGCTTCGGAAAACGAACATCCCAAATTCTTTCTTTCATTTCGCTTGAGCTTATGTTGATGGGTGTAAACAGAAATAGAGCACCATTCTATTTAAAATATTATATTCCGTTAAAATATTGTACACCATTAAAATATTATACGGCATATCTGTAGTGTTAGACGAAACCGAAACCGCCATCTTGTTTATGACATAGGGCCCTGAAGAACCCCATTGGCTGGAATTGCCTCGCTAGCAAAAATTGTTCTAAAGCGGTTGTTATGGCAACTGAGTAAAAATTGCACGAATTGGACGAAAAACTCCTTGAAACATGCACGTGTGATACGGCTTTAGTCTTCAAACTACAAAAGTCTCTTAAAGAACAACTTATTTGCAATGATAATATTTTATGAACCTTCATTTTTGTGAGTTCAGTTTGAAAAGAATTTCTTAAACCTACATAATTCGATTGAATTATAAAGTTGAAAAATTGTATTACCTGTATGCATAATTATTCGATGTGCAGTAATTTTTAACTTTAGTTGCAGTTAATTGACCATTGCATTCAAAGTTGCTAATTCAGTATGAAAATCAGAGCAAAAAAGTTTTAAAATCAGAGGAATCATATTGATTGATATTACTAGCATAAAAAAGTCTACTCTAAGAGTGTTTTTCTTTGTAATTCGATTATGACTTTATCTTAATCCTTGTTAGTTTCAATGTTTTTCAACTAAATTTTTCAATGATTAACTGTGCGAATTTCAATCCGCAAAATATATTTTTTCCACAATGACACATAAACAGAAATATTACATTTAATAAGAGCATCAAATTTTATTTTATGTATAATTACTTACAATTTCACTCTGTATGCATTGCCCTGATTATGTGTTTATAAAGGATTCTATTTTATTTACAGCACTTCGTATAGTACCTTCGTGTCATACCGCATACATATTTTTAATTGTCTTCAATAGGAGATGAAAATGAATAAAGTGCACCTACCCACTTTAAGGCTGTTTCAGACATAAAGCGTAATTGAACGATTAACAACTCTTTTTCTGTATTCAGAACATCTGTTGTTGCTGTACTCGAATGTGGCATTCTGCTTGACAATGGCCTTAGTAAAGAAGTTACTTAAAACGGGATGTCATACAGATTTTGTTCAGAAGTGTTGTTCTTGGGCGGCGTCCACACCCAACTCATATATACACCCAACTCTTATTTTATATGATATTTTAATAGTACTCTTCTCCAATATACTTTTCATAAGAGTATTTCTTTCTTGCAAGTATCAAAGCTTGAAATTTGCTGAAAGATTTAAAACACTTTTGCCGTTTTCCGAATGTCTGTTGGTACTGTGCTCAATGAATGCATTCTGCTTGACAATAACCTTAGTAAAAGAAAGTTACCGCTGTTATACAGAATATTATAAAAGTGTTGTTAAGAAATGTTGTTCTTGGTCGTCCAATTGATTTTTTCAAAGATATATCCTTATATATGGAGCAGGGAAACGATTAAATCAGGGCTTTCGTCAAATCCCTAAAGGAGATGATCAATTCGCGTAAGATGTTAAAATAACGTCTCTTTGAGGTCTTTTCCTTTTGTAATAAATTATTTAACTCTCCGAAATGTTTTAGTGAAATAAAGAAATGAGCTAGTCAGCGTTTGCAGAACTATGTTTTCGCTTTCTACCCACCCTTAACCTCCTCTCTTTCTTTTCAACACATTTCCCTGCAGCTTTTATAAATAAAAATGATTGTTTGTTTGTGTGTCTCTTCTGTCGTATTAAACTGTTCATCCAATTGCGATGGGATTTGGAGTGGTTGGACACATGTCCAAGAAGGTTTCTGAGTTAGTAAAAATATGTTCCAAAAGACGCCCATTGGCATTGCGGGTGATTATAAGGGGCGTTATAGATCATGTTTTCGATTTTAAACTATTAGACGTACAGTCTTGAAATTTAACAAGCTGATTTTATGTATGGAGTAGAGATTTGCGAAGAAATGGGTTTTAGGAAACTCGATCCCCAAGGGGCGTTGCGGGATATTAATTCCTGTTGTAGGTAAATATTCAAGTACCCTAACTATTAGAACTACATACTTAAAATTTGACAAGCATATTTCTTGCTTGAAGTAGAGATCCACTAAAAAAGGGTTGAATAAAAATCGAATCCAAAAAGGAAGGGGGGTTCCGAGGGACTAAAGATCGTTATAGATAACATGAAGTTCCTTTTTTGAAGTATTACGGTGGTATTCTCAATCGCAAGTTAACCTCGGGTTATCCCCGAACCGGAGGTAACTCGCAGATTGGTGAAAAATCATTATTCTCAATTGCGGATCGAGCCAAATCCACCAAAGGTAACCCACCGATTTCGGAGGGTAACTCGCGGATTTCGATCACGCGAAGCTGTTTGTAAGCAAAGATGAACGTAACAAAGAATATGTCACGTGATTATCAGTGTCCAATCACAACGATTGTATAATCTTGCCCACGCATAACTCACGGATTCGGCAATCGTCAGTTCGAGAATAAGAATGGAGAATTATCCGCGAGTTATCGGCGAGCAAGGGTTACCCAATCCGTGAGTTTTCTTTTCAATAACTCGCGTTTGAGAATACCACCGTTAGACCTTCAGAGTGGGAATATGGTAGGCATATTACTTTCATAGAGAGACATTGGCTTCAAAAGAGGTATTTATGAAAACTGAACCCCCAAAGGATTGAGATGGGTTAAAGAAGCGTAATAAACAATTATCACTGTTTTCATACTATTAGTCCTAAAAACTTGAAATTTGCACGAATATTCGTTTCGGAGATCCGTCAATAACGGGTTTTACGTAAATTAAACCCTATTGGGGATTTGCAAGGGATTAAAGTTACTGCCTACCTTGAAAATGTAGTTTTTCGTCTACATTAGTCATTTTTTTTTAATTTCAAAATCTTACAGTTTGAACACTTCTCTTTCCAAAACTTTTTTTTTCTTTTACGCGAAATAGAAATAAAAAATTATAGTGATTTTAAAAACATCACTTTGCTAAAGGGCATTAAGATAAAACCTTTAAAAAATTTGTTGACAATTGATAACACCTTTTAAACAATTTGTTATAAAATTTATGTATTTAAAAATTTATTTTAGCATTTCACATATAATGTTTCTATTGAAAAAATGATGCGAGATGAAATCTGTACATAGTATCTACATAATTTTAAATTTAAAAAAAAAATGTATGGAAAATTTTAAAATAATACTCCTTTTGTGCATTTATTGATTTTTTGACCTTGAATATTTTTGTAATATATATAAAGTTTTAAACAACTTTAGGGATTGATTTTACAAAAAGTTAGTTAGTCTTGGTGAAAAAAATAAATTTTTTATACACATGGTAAACAATTCAAGAAAGAAGCCAAAATCTCCTACATTTTAATTTTTTAAAAAAAGTATTAAGTTTGTAGGAAAATAGATCCCCATTTTGTTACATGAATTATACAAACACAAGAAAAAAATGGAAACGATTGGTTAATAATTGAGGAAGGAGAAGCATCTTGAATACGGAAAAATACAAACCAAGAAAAACCACATTTAAAGATTATAATTCAAAAAAAATAATATTATTATAATCTTAAATAAGCATAAAATACCAGTTTAAAGTATTAGCTACATGGATTTTTTAAGAATAATAGCATTTACAAATCATTTCAACCCATATATTTAATAACAATCTTTTTTTAGAGAGAATTAAAAAGATGTTTGTGCCTCTGTTTGAGTTTATATTAAAATTCCAAGCATTGTGAGTAGCACTTAACCATTATTATTATTACATGAAGACTCTAGTAAGGCGTGCATTTGATTAGGACTATTGCTTGCATTTTGCACTTGGTTAAAATTATTCCTGAAATTTGGATTTGAGCTAGTGATGGCTTGAGTAAATTGCGAGAGTTGACACAGACATTGCATAGTCATCTGTAAGGTGGCTTGCAAGTTAAAGTTATTACTATTAAAATTAATTCCTTTTAAGGTATTTCCAAATTAAAATTACCTTTAAACTTATAATTAAAATTTGGAATAAATCTCTTATTAGAGGGAGAATTTTTCTTGGCCTTAGTTTCCGCAGAATTCACAGGTTCTTTTGGCGCCATCTGTTGCCTATTTTGAGAGTTAGAAGTACCTACATTTTGATTTTTGGGATTAGCAGCTTGAGCGTAAAAGACATTTGGTCTGACAATGCTATTGTAAATGGTGGTGTAAGAATTACGATTATTAAAAGCCGTGACTTTAGGGGGCTTAACGTAGTCTCAAGGTCCAGGGTTATCTTATATATATATATTTTTTTAATTTGCGATTCCCCAGCCCCCGTTTTTTCATGGAAAAAAGCAGAATTAACGTTTCTGATGTGGTTAAAGTCATTATTTGTGTAGAAAAATATTCTTATTCATAAAATATATTAATATTATTGTGTATTTAAGCAGCTTAGCCGGTCATTTTCTTCTAAAACAAAGTTTTTTTAACTTTGTACTTAAGATGCATACACGTGGCGCCATCTGCAGCCATTATATTAAAGCTAGCCAAACATGGCGTTAGAAAATTCTATAATTAAGGATATATGTATTTTTCACAATTTTAAAATTTTCTAGACAATAAATGACATTTCTACATTTCATGTTGAATTTATATAAGTAATTTACGTTCTCAGCAAAAATTTTAAACCTATATTATATGTTTTTAGTACATGTGGAACTCCATCGAAAAAAGAGTTGTAGTCGATGGGATTCGAACCCATGCGGGGATATGCCCCCCAGACTGTGAGTACAGGTCCGGTCTGGCGCCTTAACCTCTCGGCCACGACTACGCGGTGAGATGTATCGTAATAATAGCTTTGGCGTAAAATAATGAATTTTTAACGGAGAAAGCAAAGAAAAAAATAGTAATATACTCGTATGCCATAGTTTTGTACCCACCTATTTACATAATACATTTTTCAGATGTGCGTTTAAGGTAACAGAGCACCTTCGAAGAAAATTTTTTGATTTAACCTAAATTTTGCCTGTAAATGCATATTTTATGACCTAATGGGTCTCTAAAATTAGAAAAGTTTTGTTAGTGTACATTTTTACTGTCAAAGGGGTATTTTATAAAAACCAAAAATAAGACTTTACGCAAAAACTGATAACTGTAAAGAAAATAAATATATTGACATTTTGTAAATTGAATAATATAGCATACTACCTTATCTAGGGAATAGACTCTTATTTTGGTAATATAACTATTACGTGGGAAGATATTGTGTTTCGAGCTTCTATACGTTAACATTTTCTTGAAAAGCTATTGTAATTTTAACTTTATTGCTATATAAAAAAATTCCTAGTCTACAAAAAAATCTGAAGAAAGGTCTATTCCCTGTATAAGTATTTAAAAAACATGTTTGTTTTTTCTCCACAATTTCGGTTGCAGCTTTTATCATGGATTCCTCAGCTACTTCCTGAACCACTTTTAAAAGCTTTGCTTCCTGATTTTTGTAAGCAGTTTTTGTTAGTCGAGGCAAATTTAATATTGAGCAAAATTTAAATGCCCCAGCAAGACCTTTGCCTATCTGCCGCATACCATATACAAGCCTCGTATTTATGAGATGCATTTACAACTTTTTTTGATGAAGCAAATGCAAAGAAAAAGTCACAAGACTTACATTTTAGTGTAAAATGGAAACACAATCCATATCTGGAATCCACAAATAGTTCTAATTTTTCAGCAAAACATTTTGGGCTACAAAGTTGAGAAAAAGCTTCCAAAATAATTTCAAGGTCAACGATTCTGTTAAACGAAATTTGTAAAATAAAACTGAGCTCTCTGCAATTTATTATATTTTTAATTAAAAATAACATAAAAAGTCATTTCAATACTATTTATTTATGCAAATTTTATTCCTTATCTTTATATTTTTCTGTTGAATGATTTTTTTCGGCATAAATCAACATAACATCATCATTCATCAAAACAACTTGCACTGTGAGAAAATACCCTCACTACGTCAACATTTGCACACATAATACACATCCCATCAGTGGCGCACACAAGGGAAGGGATCCTTGGGTCCAGACCATCCAAAGCACGTGTTTTTTTTCGATTGATTATAATCCCATATATATATATATATATATATATATATATATATATATATATGTATTATATATATGCATATAGTTTGTACATTAAGTATTTGTTATTAATAATTAATTTTATTCATGCTAATTATATTCATTCAAAAATTAATTTTTTTTTGTTCCCGAAAATCAAAAGAATATGTTGGTTGGCGAATTGGAGTATAGAAGAATAGTGGACTTTTGACCCTGGACCCCCTCCTTAAAAAGTTTCCGTTTGCGCTAATGCATTCAATCAATAAGAAAATATATTTTTCTTAAAGTGTGTTGGCGAAAGTTTTTCTAACCATTTTCTATTCAAATTTAATTTTTTATCTTTCCTTTCTTTTAGTATTTCATCCTTTAAATGCATATTCGCACATATCTATAAATGGTAACTATAACTTTCTCTTCAGTTATTGCAAAGATGTATTACCAATTAATTTTGTCTTTTAAAGCAGTACACTTAAAACAATTTACGTAAATAAAATTAATTGATAATTAATAATATAACAAATTTTATAAGCAATTTTAACATTTAGAAATGTAACCTTAATTCCAGTACTAGAACCGTATAAATTTTATTTTATTCTTAAATATTAACAGTAATGATTCATAATCATCATCATAACTCGTTCTATATTGCAAAAACCCTACCTTTTGCTTCTGAAATAATATTATATAAAAATTTGTTTAGTTTTATAAAAAAATTACGCCTGTGGAATAAACGGATCATAAGCTTTGGTTTTTACATAATTGCCTCGTAAGTATAAAATTTTTCATAAGGCATAACATAGCCTAAATATAACAAAAATCGGGGAAGGGGATGCGTTTTTTAAGATCATATAATTGGAAAACTTGCTCCAAAATTTCTGATCTGAAAACCAATTAGGTTTTAAGAAATTTAATTTTCTGAGTTTTGATTTTAGTTTCGCTTTCATTTTAAAGCATTTTGCATTCCTAGATTGAATTAATTAAAAATATTTTTTAACCCAATCCATTATTTCGTGTGAAATGGCTATTAACTGCAATTTTAATTTCTAAAATCATTTCTGTTGGCCCATGTTTTTAAGTTTATGAGTTCTCTCACATTTACTTAACTAAGATTGATTTAAGGACCAATATATTTTTTGACATATAGTATATATAATTTAAAAGCTCTTTACTTTGTTTTCATTAATTTTTTCCTTTTGAAAAGTACCATGACCAAAATGTACGCAGGTTATTGTGAGAAATAATACTTGAAAGGGATGGAATATGACTGAAAATGGTAAATCTAAAATCCAGCTTTCAGGTGATATTACAATTAGACTACAGAATACAAATGTTGCAGAATGAACTAAATATTTCCCTGATGTACCAAACTACATTATAATAAATATATTGTAGTACTACATTACAGTATTTTAAAGTCATGCAACAAAAACTTAAACTTTCTTAACTGCCACGATGGGGAACTGAGAAAAAAATAGATATTATTTACAAACTTGGTGATTTCTAGATTACGTTTGTGTCTCTACTCTTTTCTGTATAAATATTTTGCATTTAAAATCCTTGTGAAAATATAAGGTTCAGATAAAACTGAATAATTGATCAAAATAACAATTGTTATCATTATTATGTCCAAGAATATTTTAAATAAAAAAAGATATTTTCAGTCATATTTATTTCAAGTAGAATTTTCATGTAGAACATAAGTTGGATAGTAACATATTAAAAAATTAAAGCCTTACAGGCATTGAAATTTATTTTTTTATGCCTTTACAAGTTTTAATTGTGTTTTTCTCAGATTTTTAATTTTGAAGAGGAGAGTGTTTTAAAATTCCTAAGGTTTTTTTCTTGTTCAAGATAGAGTCTTCAAATATCTTGTAAATATTCTCTAACATATGTTCTATAAAATTTATATGGATTTAGGACTGCAAGCTCTAGTTATTTTTTAAAAATATCTTAATGTTAATATTTAAAAATCGTGTTTTTTCCAGGTATAGACATAAAAATAATTATTAAAATTCAACAAGGAGATAGATTTTAAATTTTATTTTTGGTTCTAATAATCTAAGAAATATATATCACTTACAATAATTAAATATTTTTAATAATTTAGCATTTTATAAAAGTTTTAAAAGCTTCCAAAATGTTAAATGATTTAAAATTTTGAAATAATATCTTGTCAAACTAAACTATTATTTTCAGAATCAATATAATAGTATTATCTGAGTATAAAGCAAATACATATAATAAATACATATAATTGTAAATAAGTATTGTATAATCAAATACATATAATAGTATAATCTGAATATATAACAAAAATTAATTTTACTGTGGCAGAATTGCTTACCACTTCTACTCATACTGTAAAAAGAATGAAAGATAAATATATAACATAGTGGCAGTCAAAAACACATTCATAATATGTAAAAATCCTGTCCCGCTACTAATTTCAATGCATTTTCCAAACTGTAGCTAAAAAGAATTATATGTTTATTAGGCCAAAAATTATTTATATTTAGAAATATTTTCCTTATTAAGTACATAATGAATAATGTCAAGATAATTTGTAAAATCCTAAAAGATTTTAATGGAGAAAAAAGCCAGACATAATTTTAGATAGTTAGAAATTTCATTATATAATACACAAATATGCATGTTTTAAAACAAATAAGTTGGCTAATAAAATGAAATTTACTAAAAATTTCCTGAATAAAGTAAATCAGATTTCATCTTCAAATACATATAATTGTAAGAAAAGGTTTTATTCAATTTACAATCAATTAGAAAAAAACTTTTATAAAAAATAATTTTAACAGACATAAATAACAAAAAATATCAAAGTATAAGAAATAATATTAAAATAATGTGAAATGCTTAGTCAAAGCAAAGTACCTTTTACAAAGCCAAAAGTTTATCTAAACAATTGTACATTCCTTAAGCTAGAAGTGTACATATGCATATATAGTGCAAAAATAAATATATTTGTTCAAAACATTGTTTTTAAAACATTAATTTTTTGAGAAAAAATATTTACATACATTGACACATACATATCGTTTACAGAAATATCACAATGTGATATTTTTCGAAACACGGCACTGCACACAGTCAAACATTACAGTCTTTACATTGAAAACGATTTTCTCTTCGAATGCATTTTCCATTATCATTTATCTTAAGGATGCTTGATTGATTGATTGATTGAATATTAACGTCGCGCTGTTCTGCTAAACGAGGACTTTTGGCGACGGACTACGTAATTTTAACGGAAAATGTAACAATGAAATACAAAATCTCAAGTTGTTCACTGACTTTAAAATTGTTTATCAACATCTACGAAACATTTAAATACATAATATAATACTATTTCGATATATATACCTAAAGCCTATGTTATCTCTAACCAACTGAGAAAATCATGCATTATTTTCTTTTCATTGAAGCACCCATATTCTGGCATACAGTTGCACAAAATGTAGCATTCAGATTGTCACTTCATGAACACTATTTTAGAATGTAATTTCACTGCCTTTTCTTTAGCAATAAAGCCGACACAATAGGAGCCTCAAACACAATTTCTCATGTTTGCTTATTTGCAGAATTCGTATACCACTATAACATTCAGTTTTGGGCTTATTATTACTAATAAATAACTATTCATTATTAAACTATTTCATTATTAACTATTATTGAATAAAGTTATTTATACTTGAACTTTTCA